CTAAAAAGCCTCTTGATGAAAGTGAAAGAGGAGAGTGAAAAAGTTGGCTTAAAGCTCAACATTCAGAAAACTAAGATCATGGCATCTGGTCCCATCACTTAATGGGAAATAGATGGGGAGACAGTGTAGGACTTTATTTTTTTGGGCTCCAAAATCACTGCAGATGGTGACTGCAGCCATGAAATTAAAAGACGCTTACTCCTTGGAAGGGAAGTTATGAACAACCTATATAGCGTATTAAAAAGCAGAGATATTACTTTGCCAACAAAGGTCCATCTAGTCAAGGCTATGGTTTTTCCAGTGGTCATGCATGGATGTGAGAGTTGGACTGTGAAGAAAGCTGAGTGCTGAAAAATTGATGCTTTTCAAGTGTGGTGTTGGAGAAGACTCTTGAGTCCCTTGGACTGCAAGGAGATCTAACCAGTCCATCCTAAAGGAGATCAGTCCTGGGTGTTCATTGGAAGGACTGATGCTGAAGCTGAAACTCCAATACTTTGGCCACCTCATGAGAAGAGTTGACTCATTGGAAAAGATCCTGATGCTGGGAGGGATTGGGGGAATACCAGAAGTCTGGCTTTAGAAAAGAAGAAATTAGAGTGTCTCGCTTGTTCCTGAAGTGTCTCACTTGTTCCCGAAGACAGAATCTAACTCTTTTTTCTTTAAGATTCTACTTTACAGCAGATATTGTTGCTTGATTTGAAACTTGCTTTCATAATGTCCAAAGCAAAGAAGAAATTCTATTAAAGATCTCACCAATGCCAACTATAGTTAGATCACTATGTCATGGTTTTGCTAGATGCTTTCATTTATGTGTTTGCAATTGAGCTAGGAGATAGGGATGTCAGTCTTCTTATTTAAAAAGGACTAAAAATCTAGTAAGATTGCTGCTGTGGAAAGGAGGGCACTTGGGAAAACTATGTCCTAATTTTTAAGCAAATTACTAGTTTTGATTTGTGCTTAGTGGACCACTGCATCTTGTCACTAGTAGCTGAATGCTCAACTTCAATAACTAGATCTTATTCTCTGGTTCAATTGAAGTGGGGTTCCATTAATGAAAATAAGATCATCAGATCCTACAGTCCTGTGCAGACTAACAATCATTAGCTAATGTGCACTGGGAACTGATAAAGTGAACAGTGCAAATGTGTGGTAACAGACATTTTGGAAACACAATTACTTTATTAATTTCATTAAATGCTCTTGATCAAGTTACATGACATTCAAAAAATGCACTCTAAAACAGAAGGTTCAAGGTTTCCTTTTTACCTCTGGTGAACATGCCAGAAAGCATCCATAGGAAGCAGCTACTCCTTTCTGTAGTGGCATACTGGAATCTCTTAGCATGCACATTTATAATAAAAGATCACAGTTTAGGTTAAGTACTGTTAGTTACAAGAGCACCCTAGCCCCTTTTCATGCAATTCAAATCTCATCATGGGGAGCCCATATTTTACAAAACAACACAAAAACAAATACTTCAAATGAAGAAATACTTCCTGGTTTTTCCATGATTAAAAAGTCTGTCCTTGGGCGTTAGTCATTAGCTACACCTTTCAAATAAAATCTCTCACACAGAGAACAACAATTTTTATTATAATCACTTATAGTAAGGTTCAAAGCCCACAAATATCAAAATAAACAACTGAAAAGTATTTGCAGAGAGCGAACTACAAAGTTTGATGTATGTTCATGTAAATTTTAGCTGCTGTACATGTGCTATGAGATTTACTTCAGATGAACAATCATAAGCCGTATGGTTATAAATTAATATAAGTACATCTGAGTTTCATAGGACAGAAGAAATAAGCTTTTCAGTGGTGAGTAATTTTCTGTATAAACAACTCATGTTGACTATCCTTATATGTATGACTATCCTTATATATGGACTGAAAGTCCATATATAGAAAAATATATACTAACTTAACCTTCTTCTACAAGCTGGGATTGAACATGGCCTATGAAAAAGTTTGTTTAATTGTAATATTGAGTTAATGATGCATTTAATATTTATTCAAATTTCTCTTTATTCTCTGGCATTACAAGTGTCCTTGAAGTTTAAAACAAAGACACAAAATATCTGGATACAGACTTGCATTTTCATTTAAAGACACAATTCTTAAAACGTTAAGCTAGAGAGACAGAAGAAAAAAAGAGCATTCAAAACTACAAAGAGCTACCTGATAGGCTTTGCAATCATTTCTGTTATGGAAAGTTATCACAGCCTGTTAGATACAGACAGAGTGTTTGGTTATGCGAAACACTCTTCCTCATTGTATTCTCTAGAGAATTTTCCATTAAGACTGAATTATGATGTGAGGTGTTTACAGTGGCTCTCTGGGTAGTGAGAAGTTTTATATATTTTCCAAAGGTTCTGTAATGAACATAGATTGTGTATATTCTCTTTCTCTCCCTCTCTATCTAAAGATAGTATATATAACAAATATACAAATTCTCACGATCCGTGTTCTCACTGCTATCATAAATTCTTGCCTAAAGATGGCAACTGTCAAAGCAGGTGATGGAAATATGGGGGATTCACTATGTAGTCTCTCTACTTTTTTGTGAGTTTGGAAATTTCATTACAAAGGACTGAAAAATATAGTGTCAAATTCTCTTACAGGATTGATACTGAAAAAGTTAACAGAATGGACCCAAATCTCTAGAAATATGCAATAAAAATATACCAAGAGTAAATGAATATTGGATAAACAGAGAGAGCAAAAGTGAGTTATGAGTTTGAGCAAGCCCCGGGAGTTGCTGATGGACAGGGAAGCCTGGTATGCTGCAGTCCACGGGGTCACAAAGAGTCAGACATGACTGAGCAACTGAACTGAACTGAACTGAAAAGTGAGTCTGTTTTTGTCACTCATTCGTCTCATCATTGGAGAAGGAAATGGCAGTTCACTCCAGTATTCTTGCCTGGAAAATCCACTGGAGAGAAGAGTCTGGTGGGTTACAGTCCATGGTATCGCAAAGAGTCAGACAACAACTTAGCATGCACGCAATGCATCTCATTATGGTCATCTCTTTTCTCCTCTTTCTACTTTGACCACTCTTGAATTTTGACAACTCTCTCTTCCCCACCTGTTATCTGAGAACCAACACACTCTACTAGTTCCTCCACTCCTCACCATGATTTCTCTCAAGGTTATCACCTTTGTGGGGATAGGTGATCCAGTCACTCATTCAGGGTTCTCAAACCTGGTTGTACGTCACAATGGCTGGAGAAGTTTAAAAAAAAACCCCAAAACCCAGCCAAAGGCAATTAAATCAACATTTCTGGGGGTGAAGCATAGACATTAGGGGGAAAAAATTTTTTATATCAGTTATTTTTAAAATGTCCCAAGTGATTCTAACATACAGGAAGCTGAGAACTGCTCATCTGAATAACAGATTTCTTGATCTGTAAGTACTATTCACTTGTTTGGTCAATAGCTATGGGTGTCCAATACAGAGGTAGAAAACTGGCAGCCCTGGCATGTTTTGTTTAACTCTAGGAGTGTTTTCAAAAATGTTCAGAGTTTAGACAATATTTTAAAATTGTCAAAGAGAAGGGGACAACAGAAGACGAGATGGTTGGATGGCATCACCCACTCAATGGACATGAGTTTGGGCAAACTCCAGGAGATGGTGAAGGACAGGGAAGCCTGGCGTGCTACAGTTCATGGGGTTGCAAAGAGTCGAACAGGACTGAGTGACTTTACATAAATACTGTTATAAACACTGGGATACTGAGTTCCTCTTGAAAAAAAAAAGAAAGATCTGGTGAGACTGTGCCTGTGTTCTTGCAAGGCAAAATCTGGCTAGAACTGAACTGCAGCTGTCCCTCTAGGCTGAGAACGAGAACCCAGTCTGCTGTGGTTCTCACCACTCCCGTGTGGCTCACTCCCAGAGGCTGAGTGTTAACTGCCATGTGCTGTATCATTTCTATCAGTTGTTGATATTACTGTTTCAACAGTAGGGAACAGTCTCTTTGAAGCACTATCTTACTCTTCTTCCCTCATTGCTCCCCTCCACTCCCAACATGGCTTACTGCAGAAGTAGAAAATGTTTCTGTGGGTCGGATGTCCAGGCATCCGGCTCACTTCACTCATTTCTGTTGTCTGACTGGCTACTGTCATATGAGTGTGCAGCACCAGGCCAAATATATAGTAAACACTGTGTTAGGTGGTAGGAATATAGAAGAATGATGTACAGTGCTCTTTTTGGAAGAGTCACACTTAATTGAGAATGAAAGAATATTAAGTAAAAAGTATTGCAAGGAACAAAAAGCCATCACAAAAGGAGAACAATGCTTGTTAAGGCAGAAGAGGTGGCATTTGAGTTGGATTTAAGAGGACAAATGGAGTGTTTTTCCAGGCAGAAAGGCAAAGAAGCCATTTTAGGCCAATGAAACAGCAATCTCAAAATAAGAACATATGAAAGCTGCAGAGAGTGGTCAGAAATTAACACATAGGGAATGAGAGGAAGGGTCTGGAGATGAAACTGCGGAGTAAGTTTGAAATAAGGGAGACTGACTTTGCGTGAGTCCCCGGGGGCATTTTTTCATTCTGTCTTCTAAGATAGCAGGAAAGGCATTCAAAGTCTTTAATCAAAGAGCACCATGGTTACATTTCTATTTCTATTATCAGAAAGAGAAATCTGACAGTAATGTAAAGATTAACTGGGAGGGTAAGGTTAAGTGACAGTGGGGACCCAAACAATGAAAGTAGAATAGGATCAGATTTGAGAGATGACTTGGAGGTGTAACTGGCAGGGTTTGGACACATATAGGAAGAGAGGAATAACCAAGGATGTTTGACTTAACATATAAAAATTGAGAAGCTATTTCAGTTGCTAAAAAAGAAATTTAAAATGATTTATCACTGACAAGAGCTGATGTCAAAGTGATTTAATATATAATCTCAAGCTATGAAGCATCATTGCCAGGCTGTTCCACCACCCTCTACTTTTTGGCCTTAAAAATAACGAGGTTTAAACTTTAGGACTTGAGTACATACCTGATTCTGCTGAACTCAGAGGATGACCCCCAAATTTTATTTCAGTTTGGCGGAGTTTAGTCATGTTTAGCAGCTGTGTGACTTGTGGAACATCTGTTGTTAGTTGGCAGCTTCGTGGAATAATGTCTATATGTTCATCTGTTGGACAGGGAGCATCATGTCCAGCTGGAAGTAAAGACAAACATTCATTCTCCAAATGTAAGCAATTTCTGCTGAATGGACATACCTTATAAAGGAAACCAATTAAAGTAAAACATTTTAGAGTATGACTTTGGATGGGTTACTCAATGTTATACAGTCTTGGTTAACTTATCTGAGCATAAATAATTTTAAGGTTTACTTTCTAGGATTGTAGAGAGGATTAAATGAGAAAGAGTATCAACATATGGAACAGATTCAGAGACTTCTACAATGGATGAGAGCACTGACTGGAAATATTTTATATATTTTAATACTAGAGTAAGACTCTGAAGAACCAGCTGAGTATGCTCAACAAAGGTTTCTGGGATTACACCGCCTCGTTTATAGACGGTCACTAGGTACAATGACATTATTGAGTAACCACCTAGAGCCATTATATGAGTCATTTATCTAACTTATCATTTTGAAATAAATTTAGACTTACAGAAAAGTTACAAAAATAGTACAGAGTTCCAATATACCCTTTACCCAGCTTTCCCTAATGTTAACATCCAATCTTCAAATACTTTCAAAGAAAAAAGTAGTTTAATTAAAGTAGTATTTTTATTATTATAGCTTGTATTTCCAATGATATTTCATATTATTCATATATATTTATATGGGTATTTAAGTTTTCATTATAATAAGTTTTCTGTTCATGTTCTTAACCCATTTCACTACTAGGTTATTTTAAAAAGTTATATATATGACCTATCTTGTGGCAAAGATATTAAGCTTTATCATATGTATCAAGTAGGAATTTAGTTGATGTTAACATTCCAATAGCAGTTTTACTATGTGCATCAAAAGCCTTAAAAATGTCCATGATATTTCACTCAGTAATTTCACTTATGAATCTATTCTACATTTAAAAAATCAGAAACTCAGATGAAGGTCAATATAAATGTTTATAATTTCTGAAACAATTTGAATTTCCAGTTAAGAGTTTATAAGACACTGTATTTACGAAGATGGGAAAGGTTCAAGATAAGATGTTAAATGAACATAATATATCCTAATTTCAGCTGTAGAAAATTGTTCAATGAAACATATGGATAGGAAAAGGACTAGAAGGAAATATACCAAAATGAAAAATAACTTTCCTTGATTAGTCTAAGCATAGTTTTTATTTCTTCTTCATAATAATTTAATTTTTAGTAGGAAAAAGATTTCTACTTTTAGAATCTAGTGGTAAAAATTTGGTTTGTGCACATGTGAATATGAATAATAAGAAAAATTTGATCAAATTCATCCCTCAAAAATATCCTTCTGTAAGTATAAACTCTAACCATGTTTATAAAGGCAAATGATATTAGGTTTTTGTGCATCCAAGCCGTGGCCATTCCCTAATTAGATTTTAATGTCCTAATCTTGAAAAGGAAAATGAATCATTTAACTAAAAACTTAAATGCTCATAAGCAATGTAATGGTTTCCAAGTGTCCTGATGGTCCAGTCATTACAAATGCCACTGAGCCTACAAATCTTAGTTTTCAGGTATTCTTTGTCCATTCATTTCTTACTTGTCATTGACATTTAGAAAGCCAATGGAATTGAGTAAATTAACTATCAAAATAAAAAAAATTTGGAAAGTAAGTAAACTAACTCTCTCTCTCTCTATATATATATATATTTGACATGTCATTTCAGACTTCTCGAGGTAGAAAAAGATAATTTCCACATCGGTGCCAATATTGGTAAACTGAGATTTTTATATTAATAGAGAAAGAAAATTCAGTAGGCTAATAAGAACCTGAAATAAAATGCTGTATTCTGAACCCTATGAAGAGAAATTATAGAAACTTTAGCTCATAGGGCTGTGTGGATGGTACAGGGTACAATACCACACAAAGTTTGAAATGTATCCAAAAGAAAAGCTGAATTTCCAACTAATAAGAGACAAATAGCAAATTCTGGTAACCAAAAACCCACAAGTTTTTATGAAAGATAGAACAAAACAGAGACTATTACAAAACTCCAATCTGAATCTTACATGACTGTGGTTGACATGCAAATCAGATTTCACATTAAAAGGCTCAAATTCCCTCTACATCATTTTTCCTTTCTCTATTTAGACTCTCTCTTTGGTCTCAGAATTGTCTTATTACTTATTGGATTATTCACTGAGGGAATGAATATTGTGGGCAGTATAAAATAAAACCTTCAATAAAGGGATAAATTAGAGAAAAAACTACTGATGTATTATTTTAAAATAGAGCCTAATCATTAAGTAACTACTGACTGTCAAACTTCCTGAGATTTTGTATGGAAAGTTTCATTTTTGAGAAAGAGGAAAGAAGCTTTAATCTCATTTTTCTGTGATCCCAAACTATGAAGGGGCTTTAAACCAGGTAGCTGGATGTTCTGATAGACCTAAATAGAACTTAACTCATCTCCCCACCAACCACTCCCCCTTCTTTAGGCTCAATTACTAGGATACATTATTTTATATTTTTAGCAATTATGGCTTAATCTAAAAATAAAGACTAATCCCAAAAATAGTACAGATCCTACACAAAAATTAAATAGTGCTGAACTGTATTGCAGGGCATGGTCTACCTGTAGTCGTTCATTTACTCATTTTATCATTCAGTAAATTCTTACTGAGCCTCTACTATGTGCCAGGTACTCATCTAGTGGCTGGGAATTTAGTGGTGAGCCAGAGTTGACTCTATGATGGCCTTATTAAAGCTTATACCCAGCAGAGAATATGAAACAAGTTATATTGCAGTTACTTATAATTGTGTTAAATGCTCTGAAGGAAAAGTTCAAGATGTTATGAGAGAAGTAATCGGGGAATCCAGCTTCATAGGTTGTTAGGGAAAATATTCCTGATAAAAGAGACATTTAAGCTGAGTCATAAAAGATAAGCAGAAAGTGGCCTGGTGAAATGGGGTGGGAGTGATTATTCAGGTAGATGAAACCGCTTTTGAAGACTCTGAAGACAGAAAGACTTCGGTGCATTCTAGGAAGTGAAAGAAAGACAGTTCTGCCACACTGAATAGTGAGAGAATCCCAGTGATTATATTTAGTAAAACACTTGGCTCAAATGGGGTGCTTAATAAATGGTCATGAACAAAAGCCCCTTAATAACAGTCAACTGAGATTAAATGCAGCTGCCCAGTCTTCTGTTTTTCTTCTGTTGTTCTTTATTCAGCTATATCCTGAATAGTACTCCATGCACATTTTATTTGGATATTTTTCTCCCTAGATGGCAAATAACAAATCAAGCAGGCAATCAGACACTAAGGGAACGAGAGCCTGTCGTGTTGTTCTTTCATACAAGTTCTGTCTCCAGGGCAGGGGCTTTGTACGGAAACATGCAGACTGCTTAGTTAATGTTTGAAATATGGTACAATAGAATTTGAGCTGCTTTTGCTAACACATCTGAAAGAACATTATGCAGGCTAGAATGGTCAGCTCAAAAAGGCAAAATGGTATGTGAATAAGGCTCTGAGAAAGCTGACAGATTTGCTCATACAGTATCCAGACACAACCAGATGGTAGCTTTTTTCTGGACACCTTTGCTCCCAGTAAGAGATAGTGTATTATTGCAATGTTTGAGTGACTTTATAACCCTGTTCTCCTTTCTTTGGACATAAAGTCCTCATAAAATGAACCATTCTGTGGTGTTTAATACCCTTGATGAGGATCTTAACTAGCTTTAAAAATTAAGTCATCAATTTCAACACATATATAAAGATCTTAATGCATTAAGAATAATCATCCCCATTTTATTGGGGGGGGGAATGCCTTACAAAATAGTTAGATTTATAGATTTGTTTCCACTACAGATACACATAATTCATTGTAGTTTAAATAAGAACCAGTTCTGTAATAATTCACTGATTCTGGATTCAACTTTATTCATCTTACTTACTTGTAGTGCCTAGTACAGTGCCTTACTTATACCAACTCTCACTTCTCTGAAACATCACTGAGAGTGAAGCAGAAAACACAAAAGTTTCTCATTGCCAAAATATTTGTTTTTGTTTGGGCTGCTATAACAGAATACTGTAAATTGTGTGGAAATGTGTAGAAATAACAAATTTATTTCTCATAGTTCTAGGGGCTGAGAAGCTTTAAGACCAAGACACTAGCAGATCTGAGGTCTGATGAACATCCTATCCCTGGTTCACAGATGGCTGTCTTCCTTCTGAAACTGCACATGGTGGGAAGGGAGAGGGAGCGTTCTGGGATCTCTTCCTGTGTGCATGTGTTAGTCGCTCAGTTGTGTCCGACTTTTTGCAAACCCATGGACTGTAGGCTCCTCTGTCCAAGGAATTCTCCAGGCAACAATACTGGAGTGGGTAGCCATTTCCTTCTCCAGGGGAACTTTCTGACCCAGGGATCGAACCCAAGGCTCCTGCATTGCAGGCAGATTCTTTTACCATCTGAGCTATCAGGCAAACCCTGGATATCTTATTAGAGAAGATATAAATTTTAAGGGGACACATTTAATCTAATTAATTTAACAATACTGGTATAAAGTTGATTCATTTTTTAATTCATTCATTCATCTACCATATAACTATCAGATTTGTCCCTGGGCCTGGTATAGATTCAAATTCTTGCTTTATGGAGTTTACTGTATTAATGCAGAAAGATTTTAAGAAGCTGTATATCATAGCAGTTAACAGCACAGGCTCTGGAGCAAGGCAGCCTGGGCTCATGTTCTGGCTATACCAAGCGGTTGTGTGATCCTGGCATTGTAATTACCTTGCTCTCTGCCCTGTTCTCTGTATCTGTGAAACATGGATATGAAAATAACACTTCCCTTACAGAGTTACTGTGGTGATTAAATTAGTTAATGTATGAAAGGATAAGAATACTACCTGGTACATAGCGAGTGCTATATAAATGTTTATTATTAGTAATAGCAGATACTTAAGAAAATTATTTCAATGGTGAAAACACCACTGCATCCTGGTATGTGTGTTTTCCTTTTGTTTTGAATAATAAAAGGTTTTGATGTTTAAAGGAACTA